CCCTTTCATCTTTTCTTATGGCTGAGTAATATTCCGTTATATATATGTACCAATCATCTATCGAAGGACACTTTGGTTGTTTCCATGTCTTGGCCAAATATGATTTTTTTTTTTAAACTGGGTTAACCTTTCCACTCTAAAAAGTCCCTCAGGTATCTAAAGAAGTGCAAAATTTAGCCCATGATTCTCTATCAATGATTATGCCTTACCGCTTTACCAACAGTGGTAACTAAGGAGGAGGAAATCCACTCTCACATCCCACCCCCACTCACAGAAAGTCATTGATTCATCCACATATTCAATAGGGGCCTATTCTGTGCCAGATTCTGTGCTAGGTGCTAGACATATACTGGTGAATAAAATACATGGTTTTATTTCTCATGGAAATTTTGATGATAGAATATAACATTAAACAAATAAGTGTATAAATACAAATTGTGGTAAGTGTTATGAAGACCAAAAAAGCCATTTGGAAGACAGTCTAATGGATAGAATTTAGTTGGGAATCAGAGAAAGCCTCTCTGAGGATGTAACATCTAGGCTAAGTCAGACCTAAAGGATGAGTAGGAATTTGCTTGAAAAAGAGTGAATGAAAGAATATTCCACGGCTGGCTGAGTGGTTCAGTTGGTTAACAGCGTAAACTCTGAGCAACAGGATCGCTGGTTCAATTCCCACATGGGCCAGTGAGCTGCGCCCAAACTGAGCTGCTGCTGAGCTGCCAAAAGGTGGCAGGATGGCTCAGCTGGTGAGAGCATGTGCTTCTAACAACAAGATTGACTGTTCGACTCCCACATGGGATGGTGGGCTATGCCCACCCACAAATAAGATTGAACAGGGAACCCTGAGCTGAGCGGCCCCAAGCTGCTGACAGCCAGCCAGGTGGCAACTGGACTTGGAGCTGAGCAAGCCACGCCCTCCACAACTAAGATAGAAGGACAAGTTGGCTGTTCCCCTTCCCCAATTCCCCAATAAAATCTTAAGAAAAAAAAAAAAAGAATATTCCAGCCAAAGACCCTGAAGCAAAAGAGCTTGTCATGTTTAAAAGCTGAAGAAAGCCAAGGTAGCTGGGAAATAATCAGCAATGGGAAAATGGCAAAAAAAAAAAATGAAGTTGAATTCTATGTAGAACCATGTCAGAATCTGATAAGGAGCATGTATATTGTGCAATTTGAAAAAAAATACCTGTTACTTGCATAGTACAAACTGCAAATTTTGTACTTGCCTAACTCTTCTTGACTGGAAGAGTGAGGGTGGGCACAGTTTTAAAAAGAATGAGCAGTACTGATCCACTGATAGTCTGATTCAAGCATATTAGTGTTGCTTCTAAAATAGTGAATCCCTTAAACATCATATCTGCTAGTTTTGCCTGGAATTTACTTAGTAGACATCCACACTGTCTACTGTGATGTACAAGATGTCAAAAGGAGGTGAAGATGATTGATCACATTGCCTCTGACCACAAAGGAACTTCATGGCTAATATTATCAAGCAATATAAGAAAATGAATAAAAAGAGTGGATGGAAGTTATAACAAGCACGACCTAAGTATGAAATTAAGCCTGCTGCGAAGCTCTGAATTATAACACTTATCATATATTATATATTGAATTTAAATTATCTACCAATTCTGGAAACTGAAGCCTACATTGGAGAGAATCAAATGAATTAATGAATGTTAAATACTAAAAAACAGTGCCTGACATATCATCAGCTAACGGAGCTACCAGTATTATATCAGTGATGTATTTTTTCCAAAACAAAATTTCTATTTAACTAATACTTAGGGAATAAAATATTTGAATAAATAAACTGGTTATGTTAGCTATAGATTACTAAAATGAGAAATGAACAAGAGTTTCACAATGGAGATAGAAATTTAAATATTATGTATACTAGCATGCAGTAAGAACCAGATGAGAAATGGATGTTGCAAAAAGGGCATGTACTATCTAAATATTTATGCAATAACTGAGTTGCAAATCACCTAAGCAATATTACAATTAATTAAGCCTAATACCCAAGAAGGACCCTGTGTTTAGCATGTGGCTAAACAACTGAGCCTTTTAACAGAGAGGCAAAATAAGTTACATCCCAAAGAAATAGTCTCCCAGTTCAAAATATGGACATGGATTCTTTCTCCCCTTGCTTGATTCATAATCTTTCTCTGTAGAACTCCAGCAAACACCTAGAAGTGGTTTAGGTAATTGGCCATTGCTTGTCCCTCCAAAATATTCCCCATCATAGTGTTACTTCTGGTTTTAAAGCCCTAATCACTATAGGAAACAAAGGCTAGAGAACTATGAATTGGATGTGGTACCAAAAAGTAATGCAAAGGAGGAAATTTTGCTATACTGACAGTACAGAACAAATTTATTTACAAAAAAGAGCTGTTGGTTCCAAGGGCTGTTAACCAGTGTACTTTCTAAGTCCCAGAATTAATACCAACGTGGTGAGAATAAAAGTAAGGACTTTTCCCAATCATAGAGCTGACATGCAACTTCCTGAATGAATCAATAGAAAAGTGACTAAACAAATTCACTAAAAAGATTGTTTGATTTCATTGCAGACATCCCATTGAAGCCCATAAATTAAAGCCAGGTTGTGGTTGACCCCTGTGCTCTACAAATGTAAATGTAAAGAAAGGGATTTAAACTGTAGTTCAATATTCAAGACGTCTTAAGGAGGTAAGGAAGGAACCTGGGAGTGACTAGATGATCCAATATCATAGAAATAAAAATATTAAGAACAAAAGTAATTCTGATTGTTTTATTAAAATGTTCCTCACAGAATTCTTTACAAAAACACCATGTCCCTAAAAAGTCGTTCAACAAATATCAAGACCTTCTGTGTACAGGACACTGATAAAAAAAGGCAGAGAATCCGTGTTCTTGGTTCTTAATACAACTCCAAAATATTTAAACTTCTCAAAGTTTAATTCAAAAATCTTAAATTTTACTTCACTTATAATTTCAATAGTGATGAAATTTTGATTTTAGTATTGTACTTGTAGTGCTTATTCCTATTTTTTATTCACAAGAACAAAAGCCTATCACCCTCTTACTATGTAAAATATATTTTATATGTTTTAGCTATATATTTATATAAATACATTTGTGTAAAACAAAATTTTCTGAGTTGTTAATAAATTAAAATTTTTAAGGAAATCAAATTAGTATAAAAGTTAAAATCACAATACACTTAACCCATTAATTCTAAAGTTTTGGATCGTCTTCATGAAAGAAATGTACGAACTGTACCTTTGATTGTACCTCTACAAATAGGACATTTTCTTAGAGAAGAGGCACAGTCTTTGCATACTACTAAATGACCACAAGGAATAAACACTATGGACACTTCTTTGTCCATACACACTTTACATGTTCTTTCTTCTTGTAGTCTTCTCAACTGTTCTTCCATTGGTAAATCTAAGGAGAAACAAATTTTTAATGAAAGGCAATTTCTGGTTCTCCAAGAAAAGCCAAAAAAATTTTTTTAAAAATGTTTTCTACTGGTTTAAATGAATAGTACTCTTTTACCTGAAACATTTTCTGTGGGAATATACGTTATATCCTTTTGCACTAAGGGAGAAAAAGAAGAAGTATTACTATGGCAAATAAGGTTAATGTTTAGTCATGAATATATAGTTTTAAACTAATAATTTAGACTCTGGCCAAATACTATAAATAACTGTCAAAATATCAAGGCAACGAAAGTCTTTAGTCTTTTGTGCAATTAATAATTTATAAATTAGACTGGATTGTTTTCAATAATCACAAATTATTAATAAGAGCGTATTTTCCATTGACCTAGAAAGTTCTCAAAAGTAATATTCCAGCACTCACCAAATAAACGCTTGTATAACGTGAAGTCAATTTCTTGTAGAGAGTTTCTGAATATGGTGGCCGCAAAATTTCCTTTTACTATAATAGTATCAATCAATTCTCTTGCTTGCAAAGATGTCTGTGTTTTCTGTTTAATAACATCATGCTCTTGTTCATTAATCACTTTGGCAGTTAGTAGACTATCCAGGATTGGAAGCACACAAGTCAAATGTTGAAAAAGTGCCATTCTATTCTTCCGGATATAGGATAGATCATCTTTATAAAAAAGAAAACAAAAAATAAAAAATAAAGAAAAGAAAAAAAACAAACACAAACATGTTCAAACCCTTCTCACAAAATTCCTTCCACACCTAACCATATGACTGAATGAAAAATAACCATAATCCATAATCAGACATTAATGTTGATTGCTAGGTTTGGGGGTACCTGATCCCCTGTGCCTAATAATAATAATGCTATTTATAATAAGGACTACCCCTTACTGAGCACTGTGGTAAGTACTGTACATGTGTTTACTCATTTCATTTTCACAATAGCCCTTCGAGGTAGATCCTAGTAATGTTATTTAACAGATGAGAAAACAGAGGCACAGTGTGGCAAGTAAATTGCTAGAGGACACACAACTAGCAAAAGTCAAACCAAGGCCGTTCGGCATCATAATCTGTGCTCTCAACAATTTGGCAATACTGCTAAACCTTTAACCAGATAAAATTTAGAACCTAATAAAATTGAAATTTCAATTCAGTCTAGTCAAATTGGGGGAAAATAAAATCAAGAAAATTAAAATGGTAGAACTATTTTTTCTTAAATTATCATTCATCCACAAAACTTCTTTAAAAATTCCATTCTAATTATTTCCTCAAATTAGATATGATATTGCCATTACCTAAGTATTTTGCAGTAAAAGGGGAAAGACAGTAACCACATTTTGAAAACTAAATCCCACTTGTCAATGACACATTCCTGACCCATAGGATCATTGTATTCTCCTTCAAGATCTAGATTTTATATCTACTGGTAAAATGTTTTACATTTTGAAACTGAAATTTTATTATCTCTTTGAAATATAACCTGTGACTCTAATTAAGTATCAGGTAGTTTTACCATGATCCATAAAGCTATTTTTATAAAATAACTAATAATGACTGTCTAAAGAAGAACAATTTAGAGAGTGATGATTGTTAGATTTTAGAAACACTGACTTTGTCAAGTAATAGGACACAAAAATAGAACCATTTAACAAAGAATTAAAAAATAGTGCTTAGTCAAAAAGTGAAGGTTAAAGATACATTTTGAAGATAATTGAAGCTCTGAGAATAAATGAAAAACAGACCAGGACCTAGAAACACTGTCTAAGTACAAGGTCAATGTTTCATAAATATTTGTTGAACAAATGAACAACTAAGCCTCAGTAATTTAAAGAGCAACAGGATCAAAGAAGTAACAGCAAGAGGGAGAAGAATTAGAACTTAATTCTGTTAAAGTATCTATGTTAAAGTAGTGATATATTAGAAAACTAAAATATAATTTACACTTGATATTGAAGTATATTAGTTTTTCAACCTAAGATAAATTTTTCTAATATATTTTGCTTAACCTAATGTAATAAGTTCTCTGAAATTCTTAAAATTTCTAAAATTGGACTGCCAGTAGCTGCAGAAAAAATTCTCATTTCAAAATCATAGATTGTATTCCGGCTATAAGAGATGAAGACTTGAAAATACCTTTGAAGCATATTATTCTTTTATTCTGGAAAAAAAGATCTTTAATTGTCTCTTTATTTACACACCTGTCAAGAAATTACTCACCCACTGTTCTTGGGAACATATAATCAATAACCTAAATGGAAGTATTTGCATTCACTCATTCAAAACATGCTTCTTGAGTACAGACTATATGCAGTCACTGTGGTAGGTGGTACAGATAAAATGCTGAACTGAGAAGCTAAGGGAATTTTTTGACAATGCAAATTATTGTATATTGTTGACTTGGGGTTATCTCTGCAGACTTTATTGATTTTCTTTGGAATAAATATAAATATTTTATAGCTGAATAACTTTAGACTTCATGGGGTCTATAAACAATTATGGAGATAGGTGTTCTCTTCTTTGAGCAATTGTTCACTGATGACCAATAGTCAAGACTGAGGAGACTACAGGAAGGACATGCAGCCCGATCTTCACAGTGAAAAAAAGAACTTGACTAGGCTGGGCAAAGATGAACTTGGACTATGTTGCTGCTAAATCAGTGGTGTGTCGGACTGAATAGTTCACGCTTTGGTAAATATAGGATGCTGTATTACTGTGGTCTGATATTTTGTGTGGGTTGGCCAGAAGACAAATCAACCTTCGTGGCAGGGGTAGGTTCACCCAGGAATGGATTGGGCCAATCTCACTGTAAATCATCTTGAGAAGAAATAGATCCCAAATAGCCTTGAACAAGAATAAGGGACAAACACTTTTCTCTTTCTGGGCTTTGTGGATATTGGGGGGCCTGAGTTTTGATAAGGGAAAACATACTTGGGATTTTCCTAGTCATTTGTATGAACTGGCCGGAGCTACACAGAGATGAACCAGAAGCTAGGCAGACATTTATGAGGATGGGCTTAGGGGCACCAAGAGAGGCCACATATAGGTATGGTTGTCAATTGCTCTTTGTGATATAACGCTCTTCTGTCATCCCTAAATCTCTAGTAAGAGCTTATTAAAAGTTGTAGTCTGTTTTCAGCTGTGCTGAAACGACTCTCCGATCTGGTCTCCATGCTTGGGAGAGTGGCAACGGAGAGATCATCCTCTTAGTCTTGGCCAGAGCGATGACAACTATCAAAGCAACCAGATGAGACTGGATATGCTCAAAGGAAGAGAGTTTTTGTCAAGCGCAATAGAGTAGAGGCGATAGAGTAGCAGACAAGGCCCTATGGAAAGGCATGGGTAACTTGCCTTGAGAGAGTGTGAAACAGTATCCTATGACTCCCCTAAATACTAGAGAGACATGATAAAAGGGAACTCAGCTCTTGTGTGGGCAGGTAGGAGACTTAATAATAATTTGTACATTAATTTATAGTCACAAGCTGACATACTATTATGTTAATATTAAAATTAATCATTGTCCCTAATTCCCATCCCAATTTACAGAAAATGGGAGTGAGCAGCTAGCCTGGGATCAAAAAATATGCCATGAATAATTACATACACAGTCAACTCCCAGAGTGAAAATATAAATTAAGAAAAGCAGGGGAAAATGCTTTCATTCAATATGTACATTTTCAATTTACTAAGCAACTCAAATATATTTTAATGTGAAGAAATTTTTCAAAATTCAAATTCAGAATACTGAACATAGAAGATCTGATTGGATTTATGATGAGTATATTTTCAGTAACTTACATACGATGACATCAAATCGTTACGGAAACAGAGATGGTACTAACAAATCTTTGTACCTGATTCTTCTTCCTCAGTTGCTCTTCCTTTCTCCTCTTCCCTCATTTCATCTTCTGCATTAAGTAAATCTAACACAAGATCACTGACAGTTTTATAATTCTCTCCAGTTGTTAGGATTTTACTCTGAACTGTCTGTTTTACCAGCCTTCTATTGAAGCCCATTTCCAAGGCAGCTGTCACCACAGGTGTATTCATCATGACTGCATCTTCTGAATGGTTTTCTCCAGGTCCACAATGAACAACTATATGGAATAAAGAATTTAACACATATGGGGATCATCTGTACTTTTAAAATTAGAAGTTATTATAATATCAAAAGCATAAAGTCCCCAAAATGTACAGGCACTATTTTGTATTAGCTTTGTTAAATTTAAAATAATGATATACATGTTCAGTCACTAGGATAAGAACATGGAATATTGCATTAAGATACAAAATATGCATTATCTGGCATAACAATAAACAGGGCAAGGAAACAGAATGTTGGGGGTCACTCCCATCAAAACTGAGATTCTTTTTTTCCCATGTTGACTTGCATTTCTAAATCAAATATGTTTCACATATTTTCCAAAGAGGCCCTTGTCGTCACTCACCTTTATTACTGCAATGCCCTCTCACAGTGTTGCTCCTATCTAATTCATTCTCAACATTGCAACCAGAGTGACTTTTTAAAAAAAATTTGTTTAGCTGAGCCATCCTGCCACCTGTTGGCAGCTCAGTGGCAGCTCAGCTCGGGCCGAGACTCAAACCGCTGTTGCTCAGAGCTCGCACTCTTGAGTGAGCTCTTAACCAACTGAGCCACTCGGCCGGCCCAGGTGACTTTTTAAAAACACAAATCTGACTGTGTCACCCTCCTTCTTAAATTCCATCAATTCCATTGTTCTTAGGATAACATTCAATAGTGGCTTACAAGATCTCACACAATCTGGACCCTGTTTACTTCTCCATCCTCATCTCTCGTCACTCACTCATTCGCATTTTACATTCTAGCCCAGAAGTCACAAACCAATGGCTCTTGAGTCAAATTCTGCCTGCAGTGCTGACCTCTCTCGCTGCTGACCTGCTTTATTAATTTATCTGTTTGCAAATCCTACTTCTGGCTATACAGAATTTTGTTCAGTTCTTGAAATGTACCTGTTCTCTTATGTCACTTAGGTCTTTCATGAGCTGTTCTCTCCACCTGTAATAGTCTTTTTCCTCCCTTTGTCACTTGGTTAATTCCTACTCTTCCCTTCGATTCTGTGATAAAACAAATATTTCTTCTGATCTGAAGCTTTTACTGCTCTTCCGAGATGGATTAATTGTCCCTCGTGCACTCTTACAGCACACTTTACTTTCCTACCACATCCCTTTCTCCTACCCTGTTTCTCCAAAAATCAGACCTAGCTGGAAAATAAGCCCTCGCATGATTTTAGGTGCCAAAATATGGCACCTTGGCAAACAGAATATTTTAAGTTGGAGGAATTTGTGGAAAAGGCACCCTTCTCCCTGAAACAGGTCATAAAACCCTCATATGAGGGGTCCGTGCCCTCCATATCCTGGAGGAATCATGCTAGAGCTTCTTCTCCAGCTAGGTCTTATTTTCAGGGAAACACAGTATCTGTGTATTTGTCTGTATCCCTTAGACTATTATCTCATGAGAACAGGAGTTATGTTTTTTTCTGTTTTCTATTCTTTCCTCAGAATGTCAGATAGATACACAGTAAATACTGAATTGAATTAACCCTAGAAAATGGAGTAGAAGAGCTTGTTCAAATATTGACTCTACAACCTTTTAGGTTTAAGGTGATGGACAGGTCACTTAACTTCTTTGAGCCTCAGGGTCCCTATAGGAAAGTGGAAATAATATTTTGTACCCTCTCCATTTCATAGAAAGAATATGTGGGGCCGGCCGAGTGGCTCAGTTGGTTAAGAGCTCGCTCAAGAGTTTGAGCTCTGAGCAACAGCGGTTCGAGTCCAGCCCGAGCTGAGCAGCCGCTGAGCTGCCAATAGGTAGCAGGATGGCTCAGCTAAAAAAAAAAAAAAAAAGAATATGTGAGCAATGTAATGTCATAGTGGATCTTCCCACACCGGCCTGAGAACAAGGGTTAGGCTGTATGTATATAGTTTGTTAAAACAACAGATGCTCAAGCCCCACCCTTACATACTATGATTCAATTCAATTCAGTAGGTTTGAAGTGGAGACTAGAAATATGTAATATTTTTTAAAGTTCCTCAGGCAATTATGATATGCCCTAAAGTTTGAGAAATACCAATTAAATGTATTTTAAAATGCATTACAAATTATAAACATACATTATTACCATTATCAAATTTCAATAGTACCAAATGGCTCTGTTGGGTTATTGGAAAAGTCATGACGCATTTTTGCAACAAAAAACATAGAAAAAATACGTCATGACTTTTCCGACAACCCAATAATTTAAATGTGGCAGTTATTATCATTATACATACTTGGTGACTCTGCATTTTCATCTTCTGGATTGTCTGAAGTAGATAACAGCTACAGAAAAAGATATGAAAATTAAAATATAAATCTTATCCTGTCCATTGAAAAAAATGAATCAAGAGACCTAATTCAATTTGTTGCAAGTTGACTTGCTTACTGGAAAATAATTTCTTATGTCAAAAGCAGTATTTTATTTACATTTGACAGTAATTCTCTAAGCCATAAACTAACCAAGCTTCTTTGTGTATATCTCTGTGTATATTAACAAATAAAATCTATTTTTATTAAAGCAGGAGAAGGGCTACACCTTTCAGTGATCTATGAGATAATCATTGTTTGTCTTTCATCCCAAAGCTCTTAGTTTTCCTGGGTCATCCTTTGGGATAAGGTGGACTTTATATCAGTTTCATTTACTATGGCTAGAAAATGTTTGACTCTCAAGCTACTATATAAGTTCTTATTTGCCTTTCCAGAAAGATAAAGAGAGCAATACAATTCTCTTTCTCAAATCTTTTAAGAAAAATTAATACAGTAAAACATTTAATGCTACCATCCCATCCAAATTTTTTCCTCAAATCATTTAATTTATTGTAACTTTATTAGAAAAATACTTAGAGAAAAACATAACAAATATTATTTTTCAAGAGGTTTCTAATTCTGGATGTGTTTTTATCCAAAGACTAGAATTTTCTAAAATCATGTTGAGTATTGTAAAAAAAAGAAAACGTATTTTTAAAGTAACTCTTGCCTTTGCACTAAAATACTACTCTCTGTAATTATTAGAAAATAATTTATCTGTTGTTAACCAGAACTCTTCCTACCTGTTCAAGTAGGTAAGGGTAACTGGCTTGAATTCGACTGATGAATTCTTGTCCTTTAACTCGTATCAAGTACTCACACCTAAAATGTAAACAAAATTAAGTTTGGGGAATTATTTTAATGGCCATTTGTAGACTGTTAAATATTTCAAATGAACGTAAACATACATATAACCACTTGACTGTTCATTTATCACATGAGAAGTGGTAAGAGGTACTGAAGTCAAAGGCCTCATGATGTAAGTAAGACAAAGGTTATAACTGGTAACCTGCCAAGGCTGAAGTGAGTAAGGGTCAGGGAGCTCTCAGTGCTTTGTAGATGAGTAAGGCTCTCTCCACTCAGAGCTCTTAGCTGCTCTCTTCAACTATTCTAGGATTCCTAAAAACATTCTGAACATTAACAACAGAGCTAAGGAGACAGGTAGAAAGTTATCTAATAAATGATACATTTATACATAAACTTTGTATGTTTAAAAGCTGCAAATATACAAAGAAGGACAAGAGGGAAAGAATGAGGAAGCTAAACATATTTTCCAATAAGTCAGATATTCACGTTTGGCATTTCCAAAATAATATACAACCATTGTCAAATTTTAGTATACAATTAATTCATGACTACCAAAGCAAATTTACCATTCTTTTTATACATTCACAAAATTACCACAATGGAAAACTAGCAACACTTTTTAAAACACCTATGTAAGGTGTTTTTTATAACCTTCATAATTTTTGAAATCTGAAATATTTGAGGAGGACAAAGTTACTATAAATGAAGATGTAGTATTATATTAATATGTAATATATATATATATATTTAGAGAGAGAGCCAAAAACATGTATACACATTTTACAAAAGGAAAAAACTGTATTAAAATTGTAAAACTCAGTATATGCTAATAACAAAAGATGAATACAAGTCACGTTTGACTTCTGCAATTACAAGAGGTGCTCAAAGTGGTTACCATCAGTGTCCAGACATTTCTGATTACAGCAAACTACTGCTTGAGCAATGTTGACCCAAGTGTGCACTTGTATCGCTGTGCATGCCATTTCAATTTCTTCACACAGTACCATGCATCTCAAACTTGTCATGAATGCATGCAATTGTTAGGCGTGTTGGAGGTTCTGTTGCATACTCATGTCTCCATTGTCGTTATACTTCCACTACATTCTCAAATTTCAAATACCACTTCAAAATGGTCCTGGAACAACAATGGTGCTTCCACCATTTTCTTTGACTCTCCTGCTTGTTGCATGGTGACACTAGCATTCATTTGATTAACGCCACCTTTTGAGCGAACGTCATACTACACATTGCTACTGTAATTCAATCCAACTTCGAAAATATATAGATAACATCTCTTAAAATGTGTATACATGTTTTTGGCACCCCCAGTATATATACTATATAGTGAAAATAATTCAGGATACCAAGTTTAGCGATCGACATTAAAAATACTAAAAGTTTTGACCATGAAAAATATAATTATAGGCTGATTTTGATTTTTAAAAAAGGAGTGTGAACAAGTATGGAATAATCAAAAGTGAAAGATATGACAAAAAATGCTATGTTGTGATCAAAACAGATGAGATGGATCTATATTTACCCTGATCACCCTATTTAATATTACAACCTGCCTGGTGCTTCTGCTCTCCCTTACCCTGCTCTCTTTTCTCTTTTAATCCACAGCACTTGTTATCTTCCAACGTGCTATGTAACTTGTTTATTAAGTTTTCATTAATTGTCCAGCCTCTCTTGCTATAAAATCATCACATGAGACCAGGAGTCTTAGTTTTGTCCCACTGAGTATTTTGAGCACCTGGAATAATGCCTGACAATAGGTGATCAATTAATATTATTGAATGATGAATGAATGGGAATATGTCCAAGACATAATATTGATTGAAAAGAGCATCAAAACAGCATATATAATATCTAATTCATGTAGTAAAACTGTGTACATTTATCTCCATATATACATAGGCATAAAAAGGTATCTGGGGGGATGTTTACTAAAATGGTAACTGTAGTATCTTTAGATTGAGTTTTGAATATTTTAATTTTTTGTTTCTCTTCTCTACAACATGTGATTTTGGTTTTAAAATGTGCATATACTATTTTAAAATATACATCAACTGCACACAAAAATCCTAAATGTATTTCTTCTTTGTCTTAAATTTCCATCAAAGCCTTTTAAGTAATTATTTTTCTAAGTAATCCATCCTAAAATTTATTCACAATGTATTTTTGAAACAAAGAATAAAGTAACAACTGATTATAAGGCTAACACATAGAACCCATCTCATGATGATCACACACATTTGCAGAAAGAATTTCGAAACAATTACCTTGGAAACCATTTGGCATGTTCCACCCATGGGTCATCTCCAGATTCCCAACACCGTAAGCCACCATCACAGCAAAAGCATTTGACATCATCGTTGTGACCTAAAATTAATTTTGGTCCAAAACTTATGAATACATATAATTTGCCCACTAAAATGTATAAAACATGCTGAATTATTATTATTATTATTATCAGATTAAGTTTCTTACCCATATAATAAAAACCCGCACTTGCAAGCTGCTCAGGTTGAACTGGAACACTAGAGGGCCAGGTACAGAAGGTTCTAAATCGGGCTGCCCGTGTCTGCATGCTGAGGTTAGAAACAGTGTACCTTGAAGTGCCTTGAAGCTGATTTTCTAAAAACGGGCATTTGGGGAAATGTCTCAGGTGTTCTGACATAGCGTCATCCTTTGGTTCCCAATTGCACAATTTTCCACCACAAGCAAAGCATGCTACTCTGTCTCCAGGTCCTATGTAGTAAAAACCTGCTTTTGCCAGGTCTGTTGGTGACAGAAAAGTCAATGGCCACATCTGGAAAGTAAGTAATCTGGCGTTTAGAGTATTCATTACACAATGGTAGGGACTTCTCAAGGCAGAAAAATCTTGATTTGATCCGGAGTTCACAGGACTTGATGGAAAGCTTGAATAAGAGCCACTGAAATATCCACTGTTTTCCCAAGTTGGAGATAATGAATGTGTGGAATTTGTTACTGAAGAAGGAAAAGTAAGCTGAGAGGTGGCTCCCAAAATGTTACCTGAATTTAGTTTCTGAACAAAGCTACAGCTAGGATACAACTTTTTATGCTTTTCAATAGGATTGTCTCCTTCTTTCCAGTTATCCAGCATCAGGCCACAACAGAAGCATTTGACTTTGTCGTTCACACCAGTGTAATAAAAGCCAGCACGAGCAAGACTCCTTTCTGAGACAGGAACACCGGCGGGGAAAGTCGAATACGTAGATATTCTGTACAGTTCACATGAAAAGTCGTACTTCAATTCAAACATGTTTGCGCTTTTCATCAAATTTGATAAGAATACGCTATTTTCTACTATGTTCATAAAGAAATGGATGGGGAGGAAAAGGGACTAGTCTTTCTCTGGGGAGGTAGTTTTGTGCACAGCTTTTGATTTATGTTAGTTTTAGTACTAGGTTGAACACCTAGAATAGGAAATCTATTGTTCTTTTTTCCCCTGTGCATTTAGAGTTTCAGCACAGCAAGACTTAAATCCTGTGCTGATCATATTAAGGGACAATTATGCACAACAGCACCTTTGTACAATCTTTATAGATGCAATGTAAACATGATGCTACACAGTACCTTGTGATGAAAATTAAAACCCTTCATAAAAGTGTAGAGTGCTTTTAGGTCATCAAGATGCCATTTAGTGTCAGGCATTTCCACAGGTTGGTCAACTTCTCTGCTAGAATGTTTCAGTGACATTCAGCCAGCCTAAAGATAAAACATCTGACTCACACAGCTAGCTTGTTTTCATGGTAGAAGAAAGTTATGCTCTGTAAGTACTCTACAGAAGAAAATATTCAAACTATGTTTATTTTGCTTTATTTAAATTATGAAATTTGGTAGCCAGGATAAAAAAAAAAAGCATAAACCTACCTCAAGAAAGGAAAATAATGTATTACCATATTTCACTGCTTCTGAGATGCATGTTTCAATATCTCTGTTGAGAAGTGTCTTACAATTAATAGCATATCATCTTTTAATTAGCAGCATTTTTTATTTCTTAGAGGTATATAAAATGATGGTGTGTCTTACAATTGATGACATCTTAGATTCAGTGAAATATGGTGTATCCCAAATCTTGCTTAAATTAAGTAATTTTTCTTCCTATAATCATTTAAATAGGGAGAACAAAACAATTTAAATTTTTCCTCCAGATAAAGAGCTTAAGTAGTAACAGACTTGGATGACACATCTTAAGGCCTGGGTTTAAAGATTTATTAAATTATAATTATTTCCCATAGATTGTCAGGAACCTGGTGGTTTAGTAATAGTGATACCATTCAATCTTAGCAAATTAGACATTCTATTTTAAATGAATTATCAGAGATATATGTATTTGCTCAATGGGTCTTTTAAACTCAGCTTCATATTGTTGAGAGTCAACATCAAATCGTCTACTCTGATAGTGGGCTTATTTTTAGAAACAGTCAAAAGTCAGAGTGCTGAGTCTGTAGGCTAAGATGGATAACCACATTGTACAAATTTGGCTTTGGCTAGAAATTATTTCACAGATAGCATACCTTGAACTGGAATTTATCAATAGTAAATAATAAATTTACTTTGTCACAATCCACTCCTTATGCACAGCAGAGACCTTCTCAAAACTGAGAATATCTCAATTATGACTAGCAATTAGTAAATAGGTTCTGTGTCAATAATAGCAATAACGAATAAACAAGTCATCCTGATTTCTCTAGCAGTGATTTGCAAACATGGTTTCCAGGATCCCACAGATGTTGGGATTTTTTTTTTTTTATGTTGGGATTTTCTACTGCAGACTTTAATGCCTTACTTCCAGATTGGCAGGGGAAACACATCTCAATACCAGTGTTTATTTCCCTCAAAGGTGAGTTATTACGTCTAATTTCAATTTTCCTCTCATTGGTCAAAATTTTACACATTGTTATCAAAATCTTTTTGGTGTTTATTATTGTCTCTATGTAAATTTTCTTTCTGAATACGTTTGTTCATTTACCAAAATGTAACCATCCAGCCATCATTTTTATTCTTACCATTTTCAGAGATAATAGCCCATTTTAACAAACTAAAATTTAGATTTTAAAATACCAGTAGTCTTATTAATGGCTAATTTCTTCACCAATCATCAAGTTCATCTTTTCTACTTTCTCTAAATTTGTTGTACCTATCAAAAAGTTTTGTTCTTGACATTTCTTTGTCATTGTAGAAGTCTTTTAACATGTTAAAGGTCTTATTTGCATATTTCTTTAATTTAGCAGAGGGTTGAATATTAACTCTTTGTCCTAGATTACTGTCATTCATATTTAAATCTTTACCAAACACAGGTACTTTTTCTATTCTACACAGCAACCAGTGGAAGATTGCCTGGCCAATTTTGCAAAGCGTGCTTAAACAATGTGTCCCAAGTATAATCACTTCTCCATTGTCAAATTCAAAATCAAATTCATTATTATACTTTATATTTACACTTCATATAACTAGATCATATTTTTAAAATTAATGTTCTTTGTATGCCAAAAACTCTAATTACTTAATTTGTTTATGCATGCACAAAACTACCTCCCAGAGATTAGACTAAGTCCCTTTTAAGGGTTTTAGGCCTCCATTTTGAGCTGTTTTGATTTACAGAAAAAAATGGAAAAAATCTAGAAGTAGAACAGTTCACTACTTTTGTAAAACCTGTTAAAAAAAAAAAGATAGCTTTAAGAGTCAAATAATTCATAAAAGTAACACAATGATCTTTTTAAAAAAATTTTCTCCAAAATAGAGCACTAGTATTTTTTACTGGTTGTCTACCATGTACAAGGTGCTGTACTAGGCACCACAGAGGCCAAGAAATCCCAGACAAAAACCAAAGGGCTCAACTAGGAGCCAGAAGAGGTTTGATGCTTGGCCTGCACAGAATTGGATTACAACATTTTACTAATTTTTTTTTAACTTTTTAATTTTGAAATTACTTTATACTTAGAGAACCTTACAAAAATAGCAGCTCCCACATACCCTGCATTCAACTTCCCCAAAGATAACATCTTACATAACCACAGTACAATTATAGGAACCAGGAAATTAACATTGATAATACTGTTAATTTATCTGCATGCCTTCCTTGAATTTCACCAGCTTTCCAAATAAGTTTATTTGTGGACCACAGTATTTTTAAATGTTTTAATTAATTACCAACATTTTTTTAAAAGTAAGAGATTTCCCATAACATTCTAGATTCCAAGCTTCTCTTAAAAAAATCAGAACTGGCCACACGGGGCCTGTATTCCTGCATGGCAACAATCAGCCAGCTCCCAGCAGCACCTGTACCTTTACAGAGGGCACACACTCCCCAGTTTGGCACCATACTTTCAGTCTCCTGTAATGGAGACTGACTGTCAGTTGCTACTTGTCACTGAGTTAGCAGTATTGTTTTTCTTCCAGTAGAATTATGAGAAAAGTGAAATTGTCTTAATACCTGTGTCTATCAAAAGTAACAAAAACGAAAGGTAGACAGAGAGACATGTGTTTAGAGAAAAATGAGAGTGCCATATTTCTTTGTGGAAAGGAAGACTATTCCTACATGTTACATATGTAAACAAAGTGTGTTTTTGTTTAAAACATTCCCCCAGTTTTGAGTTTTGTTCATTTATATCACCTAGCTGGCCCCTATGCATTTGAGATTGCAAACCCCTTACATAGATTTTACCCTAAAGAAGCTTTGGTGTGAAAACAAGGCATATGTTTGTAGAAATTCAGGCAACAGTTATATAATAAATGTACAAAAATATGCCTGGATCATTCAAACTCTGTCTTAACCATTTCCAACACCTAGTCTTCCAAATGTTGCTGGGGAAGATCTGCAGCCTTGCAGACTGGGACCAACAGGACTTCAGAGGCCACCTGGGCTGGCCCTTCGTCATCCCTAACTATTCTACTCAGCCCGAGACAGCTCCTTAGCCCACTGCCCTATGCAGGTCTTCTAAACATTCAATACCTTCCTCAAATTTCTCCTGCACTACTCCCCATCTTGCTTTCTTTCGGTATATGGCTTTGCCTTCTGCTTCTCAAAGAAAAGAAACATCATTGAGCAGTAATCCTTTCGCATTCTCAAATCCATGCCTTTTTCACTCACAAGCTACTTCCTACTTCAGATAACACTTGCCCCTTTACAGGGCCCATCCTCTCCTGCTGCTTCTGAAATCTTGCTCTTAACCCCATCCCCCTCATTTACCCAACTCTCACTCTCTCCTGGCTCGTTTCCTTCAACTTAACAAGCATGCTTAAGTCTGTCCCAGCATTCAAATAAAAACAAACCAAAAACCCTCTTTCAACTGCACTTTCCACTAGCAACAATCCTGCATCTCACCATCTCTTCACAGCCAAGTGAATTGAACAAGTATCTATTTATGGTTAAGGTCTCCCACCCACTACAACTGGCTTTAGCCTGAACCACTTAAAACTAATCTCAATATTAACAGCACGAATGGCTTTTTTGCCAAAACCAATGGAAATTTTTGTGTCTGACACTGGGGCCCACTTCCTCTTGGAAATGCTCTACTCCCTTGGCTTCTCTGATACCATTCTCTTGGAATTCCTCTTACCTTTCTAGTGGTTCCTTCTCAGTTGGCTCAAGTCCCTAACCTCTCCTCTTCTTCCTATATCATTTCCAGTGGGCAGCCTCCCTGAGCCCAGAGCTGTTGAGTGTCTCTACCCTCTCCTGCACTTGGCATATCCTGTTTCTCACACGGGAGCATAAATTTGCTTTTCTTTCTGCCTCCCCGCAGGCTGTGTGAGCTCCTTCAGGTCAGAACTGTTTCAGCTCTGTACCCTCCCTGCCTCCTCCCCAATATCCACCCAGCCTGGCTTATCATGTAGACACTTAAGACTTGCTGTTGAAGAAGTGAAAGTTAGCAAACTTAAACTGACACCTCATGCCCACAATACCTACATTTGCATGGTATTAAGGACATCAATTTTTTATTAATGACCACAAAGTCTGCACAGTGATGGCTTAATACCAGGTTTTGGAGTCAGGCATCTTGGGTTTCCAATTCCATTCAGTATCCCCTACCAGGGCTGTGACCTCGGCTGGGCAGGTAGGTCTCCCTGACCTGGAGTTTCCTCACTTGTCAGTGGAGCTAATTATGGTAACTGCTTCTTAAGATTGCGAGAATTACCCCCCGAAAAACACTTGTAAAGGCTTCGGAGGGGTCCTAGCATATAATAGGTATTAGCAACACCTAATGTTAGCAATAAATAAGTAGCAAACCAAGTTAGTATTAGTGTTAGTTACTTTAGCATCAGGTAAATGCCTCCAGCTCTTTGCTAACTTAATCACCAGGAAAACAACAAAAAATCGGCTGTCTTTCTGCCACCACTTGGAAACACTCCTTCATTTATTCATTAAATAAATATGTTACTGAGTCCTTACTGTGGCAAAGCTCTGCTTTCGGCTCTGTTCTGAAGCTCGTTTGGCACAAAGACCAGGTGATTGCACTTGGCAAGCGAATTAAACCAAACATCGAAGCTTCCCCAGTCCACTGGCTAGCCCCAAAAGTAAAACAGAAACTGAGCACACGGCAGGAAAGCGGACCAAAAACGAGTGCCAGCTAAGGCGGCGCGCGGCGGGCCTGCGCCCCGGCGCCCAGCGCCTCCCCGCGGGTTGACAGCAAAGGCTCTGGGGCGGTGGCGATCCCCACCGCCACCCGTCAAAAGAGCGCCGGACGCGCCCAGAAAAAGAAAGCCGCCCAGGCTCGCGGAGGACCCACTCTTTTGCTAGTCCCTGATCCGCTGGAGAGCCGACCTGGAACCGACCTCTGGGCCCTGGAGCAGTGTTTAATGACGGTGCCTCCCCGCTGACACTCCTCCTCCTGCGGAGCAGCAGAAGCGTCTCCTACCCGAGGGGGGTGAGAGGGGGTGGTGTGTGCACAGCCTCGCAGCAGCCCTCATCACCCACCTGCTGCCCGGAGGCCGAGGTGCGCTAGCAAGACCTACCTGCCTGCCGAGTCTTCTCGGGTGACACCTGTCGCTCCGGCAGTTGCGCGCGGGACGGAGTCTCACGCTGCTGTTAAATGTCCCATCTCACCCTCCCCACCCCCACCTACACACACCCGGTGTCCTGTACTCCTAGTGGTTGGTGCTTTCCTCTTAGGACTTAGGGGAAATCCAGCGGTAATAACCACACACACTTCCCCTTCTTAATCAGTGGCCTGGCAAAACCACTCGGGGATTTCCATGACCGTAAAAGCATGACTATTTCTTAACCGTGGCGTATCCGTGGCATTTACTGAAAGATCTTTACTTCATTGTTGGTAGGTCAGAGGAAATATTGGTAACCTGTGTAGAGAAGATGATCATTGGTCAGCCTGACTGGAAAAGGCCCATCTCCTGTTTACATTTGAAAAGAAAAGAAAAGAGAAGCGAAGAGAAGAAAATAGAAAAAGGAACTTTGTGAAATCTTTCTGATAATTTTTTACTTTTTGTTCTAATCAAGAAAGTAAGGCATGAATGGAAATGCAGAAGCATGTTAAAAAAATCACATGACTCTCTTTTTCAGTTGTTTTTACTGTGTTAAAGATTGAGATCCCCCCATTAGTTTCCTATATTGAAACGGTTTTGTTGGTTGGTTGGTCGGTTGGTTGTTTTTATAACTAGAGTAGAGTTGGCTATTAAAAAATTCCGCTTTTCGTCTCACAGAGGAGATTTCTAAGTTACTGGGATATTCTCATGGAAACCTGAAGTCTGAATCTAACTGCACCACCATATTTCCTCCACATTCCTTGGCTAAGCAATACCTTATAAGTAACTTTATCTAAGGACAGTGCTTGCCAGGATAACAGATGGACTGAGAGAGCTCACCTGATTTTCCTGTCTTCCAGTAGATCGAAGATAATTGGGAATCAAAGGCAGAGCCCATAATATTCATGAATGTATCATTATCCTGTGGAAACAAGATGGCCCCATTCCATTCGGGATGAGTTCCAGTTAGAGTCCCAGTTGGAATTATGAGCCAGGATGAGTTCCAGTTAGAGTCCCAGTTGGAATTATGCCAAAAAGATTGTTTGTCTATCATGTAGAGGCTTCAATCCACTTTTGAACCTGCTTAGTTCAAAACTTTATAAGCCATTGTCAACCCACCTTAGGATGATCAAAAACGTTTTGTGGTCTTTATACATTTTTGATCACGTACCCACCAAAAGAATTTTGAAAAACTATTCCTCTGTGCATTTTTAACTTGACATTAAAACATAAAAGTTGTAATTGAAAAGGAACTACAAAATATAGACACAGATATTTTAGAATAAAATTTATCCAGCACTCTTTTAAACATATTCAATGGACTACAAACACATAGCCATTTGATACCCACTGTCATCTGTTCAACAATGAATATATCAGCTCATCTTTAATAACTGGAAATATTATATCATTGCCCTTTGTTCTTCCTGAACATTCTACTTCCCCCACAGAATTTTAATATATGTTCATAATGGACACCTTTATGATCACTTGGGCACGTATTTCTGAAACAATATATGTATAAATTTAGTTTTTTTAATGTACTCATAAGCCTCTAAGTGTTAAAGAAAAATTTATCCTTGATTGCATCATCATTTATATTTCTTTCAGTGCTTAATAAACAATTGGTCAAAATAATATAAATATATTATAAATGTTGATAATTACTAAAGACAAAAAGTTAAATTCTATTATAAAAGCAATCTTAATGGGGTTGCAGTTTATATTGTAACAATTTTTCAAGTGTGTATTCATGAATAGTACCTATTATTAGAATATGATAGGGTTCAGCATAGATTCTGTTCCTTTTTTTTCATTTCTAAAGATTGTAAGTATTGAAAAATCTATATAAATAAGTAGATAGGCCAAGAAGAAATGTTATTATATTAACTTTTCACAATTTTTTGAACATTTGTTTTATAGCCCAAAAGTCATTTAGTGATGTTTAATCCAAAAATGTAATTAGTTATTAGTAGACAACCCAATTTTGTTTAAATCAGTGATTTGGAAACCACAAAACTTTTGTTCCCCAGGTAGGGTTGACAGAGTTAGCAAATTAAAATACAGGACACCTAGTTAAATTTAAATTTGAGATAAACAACAAATAATCTTTTAGTATAAGTATGTCCTATGCAATACATTATTCACTGAATACATTATTCATTGATTATCTGAAATTCAAATTTAACTGGTGTCCTATATTGTATCTGGCAACCTTATACCCAGATATCAGAGTCATTCATTTTCTCAACACTAAACAATGAATATTTCTAATTGTCCAGGAAGATTTTACACCTAAGGGCAATACATCATTTTAAAAGCCAAGATGGGTGATTAAGATTATAAATATATAAAATCTTATATATTAAGATTTTATTGGGGAATTGCGGAAGGGGAACAGCCAAGTTGTTGTCCTTCAGTCTTAGTTGTGGAGGGCGCAGCTAGCTCAGCTCCAAGTCCAGTTGCCATCCGGCCGCCTGGCGGCAGCTCATGGCTACTCAGCTCAAGTGCAGTGTTCAGTCCTAATTGTGGGTGGGCTAGCCAATCATTCCATGTGGAGTCTAATTGGCAACCTTGTTGTTAGAAGCACGTGCTCTCACCAGCTGAGCCAGCTCAATGACAGCTCAGCTCGGGCATAGCTCACTGGCCCATGTGGGATTCAAACTAGCGACCCTGTTGCTCAGAGCTCGTGCTCTTAAACAGTCAAGCCATTCGGTCGGCCCCAAACCTATATTTTTAAAGAGGGAACCATTGTGAAAAGGTTGGTGAGAAGACAGAAGAGACCTAGCAACAGGAACAGCTCTTGTTTTCACGTAGATCAGTTTTAGGAAAAGCTTCATGTAGAAATATAACATCAGGTTGATAATTCCCTTAAAATTATCTGTTTGAGTTCCCACTTACACATTTTTAAATCTTTGTAAAGACTTTGTGGAACACTTATCCCAGTTTAAAGACCATGGCCTAAGAAATCCTGAACTGACAAGCATTCCCAAGTTCTTCCAAATAATAATGATTATTGGGATCAGACCTGTCTGGGCCTGGAGTGGATCACTATGTCTCCTTTGCAACATTTTACACAGCTTTAATTGTTAATTTTTTTAAAAAAGGAATTGTTTTCCTGTAAAAATTCAAAGTTGCATAGAAGCAAGGACTGTATATATTTTGTTCACTGCATTATTCTAGTGCTAGCAGGTCACCTGCAAATAGTAAGTGCTCAATAAATCTTTGTTAACTCACAAAAATGGAGTCAATCTTTCCACTTGGGCCTACTCTATTCTAAAACTGCACCCAAATTTTTAATAGTGTAACACACTTTACATTTTCCCTCTAACCTTTTGAATATCCCAAATATGTTATATAAAAAACTCCCCTCTTCCTTCCAGCATCCAACTTGCCTAAGTATATTTTCTCTCCAAATACTCTTTTAGAGACAGAAGTATGAAAAGAAATGTTTGAGGAAAGTGACAAGATAGACACAGGGCCGTTAGTATCTCTAGTTCTCCAGTTTTCTTCTGTCAGTGTGTAAGCAAGGTATGTGTTGAGAGAGTCTTTCACTCCATTCCTTCGATAACTTCGAACTTTGATAACTCTTAACAGTGGTATGTTCTCAATATTCTGTTATTAAATAAGCAATTTTAAAGTATTTTTTTTCTTGAGGGTAATTATGATAAAAAATGTTTTCTTTGGAAGGGATTTCACATAATAATAATAACTCTGCAACAACTTCAGTCCAGCCTAATGCTATTGCACTGTAAGTTTTTAACATTTTTAATTAAAGAAATACATAAAAATACTACCCAGAATCTAGAGCAGAAAGTAAAAGTGAAAGCTAATAAAGGGAACATGCTGTTCTGATTCCAAAGTAAGAGTCCTTGTAAATGTTGGGAATTTCCTATTCTGTTGACAACTGTATATCTTGCAAAGAAAATAGTTAGATCATCCTGAACAAATACAAATGAAGTAATTTACAAATAAATATCTATTAATATAGAAAGACCTGTTTTTAGTGTAATGAAGTTTGCCCTAATAAATGGTGGCTTACTTTTAATTTCTTTGTCCTGACAGTACTTTAATGACATATAATTTACATAGTCTAAAGTACACATATCTTAAGTATACAGGTTATGAATTTTGAAAAATCTGTATACTTGAGTGACCATCAACCAGATCAAGATGAAGAACATTCTCCATTACCCCAGAAAATTCCTTCATGCCTTTTTCCAGTCTATACCTATCAAATCCTCCAGCCCCCTGCCTCAACCACTATTCTAATTTTTATCACCATAGATTTGGTTTGTCTGTTTTTGAACTTAGTATAAATGACAGCATACGGTGTGTACTCATAAAGCCTTGTTTCACTCAACATATTTTTAGTTTCATCCACATTGTAGTGTGTAGTAGTAGTTTGTTCTTTGTGCTGCTAAGCAGTATTTCACATGGTAAATATACCATAGTTTTTTTATCCATTCTCCTCTTGATGGATGTTTGGGTTCCTGGTTTGATTCCTTATGAATTGTGAAGATATGAACATTTCAGTTCAAGTTTTTTTGTGAATCTATGGATTTATTTCTGTTACATGTATATGTTTATTTTTATTAGAAATTCCCAAAAACTTTTACAAAATGTCTGCACTATTTTACACTCCCACCAGCAATATATATGAATTCTAGTTCCTGAACATTCTTCTTAAGACTTAATATTGTCAGCTTTTAAAATTTGAGCTCTTATTTTGAGTGTGTAGTGATATCTCATTATACTTTTAATTTTTATTTCCCTAGTAATTAATAATGTTTAATATACTTTCATGTGCTTTTTGATAGTTTATAAATCTTTTGTGAAGTGCCTGTTCAAATCCTCTGTCCATTTTTAAATTGAATTGACCTTTTATTATTGATTTAAGGAAGTTCTTTATATATTCTGGATATGAGTCCTTTGATATGTGCATTGTAACTATTTCCTCTAAGTTGGTGGCTTGCCTTTATTAATGGCTTCTTTTAATGGTTAGAATATTTTAATTTTTATGAAGTTTAACTTAACAATTTTTTCTTTTATGTATAGTGCATTTTATATCCTGTTTAAAA